CGCCAAGACAGCGCCTCCTCCCTCCAGCCAATCGCCGCGGCGCTGCCTGCCCCGTCAGGGCGCCCGGAGCCGCCGCCATCCCTTCTCCGCGCCCCGGGCCGGTGGAGGGTGTCCCTTGGACACTTGAACTGCTTCCAAGCAGGACAAACCCTTGGGATAAACGGGAACGGGCTCAGCGCAGGGGCTGGAATGGGCTCTGTCGTGCTATTTGACTTTGGACTGCATAGAAGGGTTGATGGAAGCAACGAGGGTGAAAATCCATGTTTATCCTTTCAAATCACTCCAGGGGATTCCAGCGCTTCCAGCAGGGAACAGTTCTCCACCAAAATGCGTTCATCAAATCTACTCACTTGGTTTATTGGGGGGGGTTTCCAAGGGATAAAAGGGACGAACAAAGAAGGGAATGAGAAACGTGAAAATACTTAAATATTAGTACATTTATAGTCAGAAAAGAAGAAAATAATCACAGGTCAATCAACTGCACTGAGTTTTCTATTCGCTTTTAAACAGTCGCCTCAATACACGTTTGTTCTTCAGGACACACACGAGGTAAATAATGGAGTCAACACTGCCAGAGACATTAACTCTGTTTTCCTGAGGTGCCGTTGCTCCAGGTGATCACCTCGGAGCTGCTATCCAAGAACTCCATATGGAAACCAAACGGATCAGTGTGGAGCCCAGACCTGAGCCATCGCCGGGGCTCATGCTGCAGGGACAGCGCGGAGCATCCCCCATCACTTCACATCAGCTCACCCAAGGCTGAGCGGCTCTTCAGTGGAAACCCAGCTTGTGCTATGAACAACATGAGCGCGGGTGATTTCCAACCACCACTGCCACAATTTGGGGTGGTTTGAAGCATCTGGAGAGGTCGGGGTGATGACTTTGGCCGCAGGGAGCGGGGCTGTGGCTTCAGGGGCTCACTTCACACAGAGCACAAGGGTAGAGCTCCTACTGCACTGAGTTCAGAGCAACAAAGCACCCTCTTGTCTGGGAGATGGGCTCCAAGAGTCCAACCCACCCTCACACTGTGCCCATTAGTGCTCGCAAGGGTGGGAGTGGGCAGAAGGAACAGCTTCAGTGCTTAAACCTGTTGGAAAAGCAGGGTTTTGGAGGGGCAGACTCTGCCAGCACCACATAACAACAGGCAGATGGCAAAGACAAGGGGGTTCCGGCTAGAAGCATCCGCTGCTAGCCACCTGTGTGCACGTGGACATGTGTTTTCCGTGCTTCTTCCTTACATGCCATGGACACTCCTGATCAAAAGGCTCAGTAAAAACAAGGGCAACAAGAACCAGGTACACGGAGCTCTGCTTCAGTGGTGTGAGCTTTTATTTCACAGAACAGCGGTTGCATTTCTGCCTCTGCGGCTCATGGCAGTGGCAGAAGTGAGCAGATGCGCTGCAGCACGGCTCAGCACCCTCTTCCTTGGGTTTACCACCCCGAGCAGAACAGCAGGGTCTATTTGCAAGCTCCTCTGTCAGCTTCCCAAGGGAAGCAGCACTGGGGGAACGAAGTTCACTGTGCTCTAGCTATGAGAAAGCTGGAATTTGATGGGAGCGGAGAGCATTCCAGCGCTCATGCACTTGGACTGAAAGCAGAAACCCTTTTCCATAGTAAAAACTACTTCCTCTAGCAGCCAGCTACACAAAATGCAGCCAGATTAGAGGACAAATCGTGTGGGAGAACGTGACATGCCCCTCAGGTTTATGAACTCTCCTTCTCTACCTCTTCCACCCTTTCATTTACACTGGAGTGTGAACAGTTACTGTCAGGATTTGCTTTAATGCTACAACTCTGACAGGGACAGAGCTGTTACCACATTGCCCTGGTGGAAGCTTTCGACTCCGAGCTTCAACTTAAAGATGACAATTCCTGAGCAACCAAGCCAGATCTTTGAGCAGCATTTGGCTCTCCATCCAGAAGCAGCAGCAAAGGTAACGAAAGCCTTGCTCAAGGATAGAAGTAATAGTGTGTGTTCCAAGACATGCTCTCTTAGGTATTGTTCTAGAAAGAGCCATGTTTAAAATGACATTCATAAAACTTCATTTTGAGGTTTGTTTTGCTTTTTAATGGCTAAAGGGACCTGCCTCCCTCCATACACATTGGGGGCAGCACATGAAAGGACAGCAACAAGCACTTTGGGAACGTGCAGGCCAGGAACAGTGTTTCCAAAACTAATAAGAGCTGAAAAACATGAAATGAGACCCTGAGATGCAGGTGAACATGGGAAAACCCCCCAAAATCCAGACCCCGTTGGAAGTGAAAGCTGAGGAATGGAGAGTGAAGGGATTACAGACCGGAGCTCAGCAGGAGCTGGGCTGCTCTTGCTGTTAATATAACCAGCTCATTTAAATACCCAGAAGAGCACAGAACAGGGTCCCACAGCAGCTGGAACTGTAGAACACCTCCTCAAAATCAAGCCAGGGGTTAGTACAGAGCGATGGCAGCCGTGGGACTGCTCAAGGACCAGAGAAACCAAGTACCCAGCACAGTGCATCTTCCACTAGAGACAGGAGAGAACGTGCCCTGGCACAAACCCTACTGCAAGGAACCTGCTCGGCCAATCTTGCCTCATTCTGCCAGTAACAGCAGAGATCAGTTCCAGTGCAGCTCCTTGAAGGGGGGGAGTTATTGCACAGTCTAATTGCTCAACACACCTTCCTAAAGCCAGGCCTGGGAAGATAAGGAAGAGGTGCCATAAGAAACCGTGCTAAGAGTATTCTCTTTAATTTCATGTGCACTTCTTTTTGGTTTAAACAACTGCTCTGAGTCCTGTTTGCTGGGCAGAGGTAACACATCACTCTACTCTGTAGTTTCCAAGTATGGCACGTGTGTCCGTGGAAGTGCTGGACTTGGTTTTACACTCACAGAAGCTGCTCAGAACCAGCCAGCGTTGGACCAACCTGCAGAACTCCTGATGTCTCTGAGCCTCTCCCTTGCCAAAAGCAAAGGAAACCAGACACGGTGCAAGGCAGGGGAAGAAGATGAAGAAAAGCACTTAAAAGGTGCACAGGAGTTAAAATGTCATGTTCCTTCTGCCTTCCTCCCCTCTACAGAGAAGCAAAGAGGAGACAGAGGAAGAGAAACAGCAGGATTCAATGGAAGGCAGAGAAGGTTCCTGATGGGCTCACCGATGGCTCAGTGCTGCTGTCTGGGTGGTGACTCGGGGCTTCACTGCTGCTTGGTTTTAAGGGATAATCTCTGTATCATCCTGTAAAGGAGACCAAAGTGCTGGGAACAGAAGGAAAATAAGTAACCATCAGTCCTTATCAATTCTCATAAAACAACTGTTTTCTACACAGAGAGAGGCAACAGACACAAACTAAACCACAGGAAGTTCCACCTGAACGTAAGGAAGAACCTCTCTACAGTGAGGGGCACTGAGCACCGGGGTAGGGTGCCCAGAGAGGTTGTGGAGTCTCCTTCCCTGGAGACATCTAAGGTGAGCAGGGAGGTTGGACTAGATGACCCTCCCAACCTCAACCATGCTGTGCTGTGGAAGCTTATTAGAAGGCTTAACACAATCCTACTGGGCAAATGCAACACCTTGTCCGGATCATGCAGAGCACTCTCACCCCGAGGACAGGGTGCACTTGGTCAATCAGGAGTTACTACAACGAAGGCAGGTACTTGGAGCTGTACAAAGTGTTTGTGCCTGTCTCACCCCCCTGGAGATGATGCAAACACTTGTTAAAGTCCGTCCATTTCTGGATGCAATTCTGCTCCCTCTTAGGGGAACTAAAATGGCAAGAGATGGCCTTCAGATAGTCAAACACATCCACATCAAAGAGCCATTCTGGAGTCCTGCTTTGAGAGTGGGGTGGCATTATTGTTCCAGCTGTGGTGCTGGGGAAGTGTGAGCACCAGTTCCTGCAGCTAATGTGACTTGTGAGGAAAATACTACACCCATCTCCTGCTTCTCTCCTCTTACCTGCACTGCCACATAGGCAACACCAAGGTAGGCGGCGATACAGACAGCCAGGAGCAGGTCAAAGATTGCTGGCTTGACCCTGTGATAAAGAAAGAACACCTGAAATTGCTACAGCTACAGAGGGAGACAACAGCTCCCCACGTCCAAGGGAGCTCCATACCTGTATGCATTCATCACCTGCTTCAGCTGGTCATAGAACACAAACTCAGGGTCCCTGTGAAGAGAAGAAACCCTTCAGGTCGTACAACGCATCTCAACACTGCAGCAAGGACAGCCCAGCCCCCTGTTCCCAAGGAGTTCATCCAGGCAGAGCCAGGGAAGCGTGACCACCTGCACACCAGTTCTGAATTGGTTTGAGCTGTGAAGTCTTTCCTTTCCTACCCTCAGAAGCCTGAGGGTACAATTCAGAACATGCTGTTCAGGTGGAAGATGCTTCACCGTGGTCATCAAACTGCTTCAACCCCAGCAGGGTTGCCTCCTTGCAGCTGAAGTTTTCCAGAGGACCTAAGTCTTTCCCTGCATCCCGAGAAAAGCAGCACTCAAGAGTGGGAAGCATGGAACACAAAGGGAGCTGCTGCGACTTGTCACTGTGGTGTCAGGATGATAAAGAGCTTTCTCTGGGACAACAGAGAGCACGAACCAAAGCTGACAGGAGAGGAGGAAGGAGCAATCCCTTCCAGCTCCATGCCAAGAAGTCAGACACGGAAGCACTGGAGGGGGAAGCCAACGTGCATGCCCTGGCTGGTTCTTCCACCTCTTTTCTTACCTTTTGTCTGCCTTTACATGATGCTGTTTGACATCCTTCAGGTAGCGACCCATGTAATATTCTAAGGTGTTGAGGAAGGTGCTGTCTTTATCGATGAGCTGCGCAGCCCTGGGCTGACTGCTCAGCCAGTCCATCACTGATTCCAGCTGCTCCTGCTGGATCTGCTGCAGGAAAACACCAGCAAAGAAAAAGGAGTCAGCCGCTGAGAACCAGGAACCTCTCATAGATCCTTGGTTCCTTCTTCCCACAAACAAAAAGTGTGCTCACCATCTGGTCCGTGAAGATCTGCAGATCTGCAGGTGCCCCCTGCAAGGGAATAAAACCCTTGGTGAGAGCCTGCTTGGGCAGGACAAACATGGCAGACAGCCCAATGGGCAGCTCTTACCTTGTCTGTCAGGTTGTAGATGACCCTTGTCAAAGCCTCAGCAATGATCCTGGTATTCCTGGTTAGTGCCTTAGTGTCTATTCGTGACCTAAAGCAGAAGAAGGGGATTATGGACTTCTCGATGGCACCAGCTGCCTCCAGAAGCCCCCTTTCCCCACTGCAGCAACCCAGAGCCCATCTCCCAGTGGTTCTTCACCCATCAGCAAAGCAGCAGCAGTGCCAAGGCTGGATGTGAGGTGCTCTCACCTCCTGTCCATGATGCTGTTGCGCCGGCTGTCCCGGTGGCTCTCCAGGTGGGAGATGGTGAAGGCGGGCAGGCGGCGGATGGCGAAGCGCTCGTGCTCCCACGCCAGCATGTCCTCAGCCAGGTTTATCTTCTTGTGCACCATGGAGAACTTCACCTCTGGGAACTGGCTGGCAACGACCTGAGGCAAAGGACAAGGCAGCCAGGGCGTCACTGCCCACTGCACAGTCTCATCTCGCACTGCCCAGAGCTGGCGGGTTTGTGTTCCAGAAGGTAAATATGCTTCCACCTCTAAGGTGCAGCTACTGCCATTAAAGAGTTGGTTTAATGTCACAAAAGAAGTGGTGAATGCTCCATCCCTGGCAGTGTTGGACAGAGCCTTGGGCAACGTGGTCTAGTGTGAGGTGTCCCTGCCCGTGGCAGGGGTTGGAACCGGATGATCTTAAGGTCCTTTCCAGCCCAAACCATTCTAGGATTCTACGAAAAACCTGGGTTAGTGCCACTGCAGGGGAGCTTTTGCAAACAACAAGCTCTAAGGCAGTGCAGTGGAAAACACAGATCTACTCTGCTTCATTTGGGACTGTGGCACGAAGATTTGTCTGCACAACACCCGAAATCCCTCAATGGCACAACTCCTCCTTCATTCCTTCCTCTTTTGGAGAGCTGCAGCTCCCCACAGTAGGTCCCAAATTCCCATCCACCTAAACCACTTTGCATTACCATCTCCAGCTCCCTCAGAAAAGCATGCTGCAAGGTGCCCTCCTTGGGAGGCTTTGAGACATGGAGGTGGAGGCTGTTGCCTCGGCCCAGAGTATCGAGGCAGAGAACAAACGCTACGTTGTCCTGCAGCAGGCTGGAATCTGGAAGAGACAAATCCAAACCTTTGTTACTCTGCCATGTGCTGGGATTTCCACCCCCAAAAAGCAAGGAGATTCCCACAGGAGGGCTGATATCCCCTCGTATAAGAAGCCTTGCTAGAGAACACGCAGCCCCTTCCTCACCGGTGTGATCCAAGTTGTCCTCCAGCCACCGCTTGGTTCCTTGATAATTAAACTTGCCACCTCCAGATGCAAAGAACAACAAGTTGTACCTGCAGGTGGAAGAGGACAGGAGGGTGTCAGCACATCACACTCCACACTACAGGACTCCTGCACCCAGCCTTGGACACCGGAGCAAGAAGAGGGCAGGTTCTCACCCCGCGTGGGTACGTCTGTAGGTGTAGAGCCGGGAGAAGAGGCGCGCGAGTTCCAGCAGCACCGAGATCCCGCTGCCGTTGGAGTCAGCCCCATGTGACAGCCACTGCAGGACAAAGGGAGACAAGGTGACAACCCTACACTGACCCTTGCAGCACAACAGCCTCCAGGTTAGCCCACCACGGCTTTAAGGCCAAGAAAACCCACAGGGGCAGAGCTCCACATGGCAGCTGCAGGAAGGGAAGATACTCACTGGAGCCACTCCGAAAGAATCATAGTGGGCAACTATGACAACAGTGGGCAGGTCTTCTCCACCCAGCCCCGTGAGTCTTCCCTGCAGAGGAGAGAGGGCAGTGTCACCCAGCACCACCTCCTGCCCCTGTACAAAGACTTCTACACTGACACTGAGCCTGAAGCAGCCTCTGTCCCGAGGACTTCAGATACTTCCCTGGCTGAGACCCCCCCGACTTCCCCTCTCAGTCCAAATGAAGCCCCAACAGAAGGTGGTGCCCCACCAGTGCTGCGGTTTGAACCCATCCACAACTCACCTCCACGCTGGGGATGAGCCAGTCATTGATGGCTTTGCTCTGAGCCCCACTGGTCACCATCTGGAAGCCATTGGCAGTTGCTGTGTGCAGCAGGACTAGAACAAACCAGACAGAAACGTGCCCCTGGGGAAGCTTCATCCCTTATTTCCATCGTTTTGAGCTTTGGAGGGGCCAGCTTCAAACCATCTAAGCCCTCTCACTTGCTGCTTGTGCTGCTTGTGCTGCACTGACACGGAATCCTGGTGACCAAGCACTTCCATTCTGTCCTCAAATCCCAGTGTTTTGAGCTGGCTAAACCAAACCCCTTTCTCCAGCACTCCTGAAGCTCATCCCAAGCAGCAGGTCGCTAAGATAGGGAAGTTCTTTACAAGGGACTACATGGAGGCACTGAACTGACCTGTGGGCAGACAAGAAGCTCCACAAACCCCAACACACTGTAGTCTTTTAACACCTTCAGTGCTGGGTTTAACCTGAGTTTTGCTTTTGATCTCACTTGCAACAGTGTGAACTCAGCTTCATGCAGCTGTATTTCTGAATTCAGCCAGGTAACACCCTAATACTCTCTTCTCCTGTGTTTTAACTCCATTAAATCTCAAAGTGCTTTAATAAAGACAGAACATGAAGGCATCAGACACTGGCTCACGGTGCCCGACACAACACACTGCTCCCAGAGGTGGGCCCAGGCCTGTCCTGCCTCTAAACCTTTCCCCCTTGTTAGAACTCACCTTCTGCAGCCGAGGCAGAGCCCTGGGAGGCAGAAGCAGCCCGGGTTTGTTCATAGATCGACAGCAGCTCTTCATCTTCCACTGCAAAGTAGACTGGCACGATGGTTTCCATCGCCAGCATCTCCGGCTCGATCTCCATGAATTGCTGAGGGATGAAGGGAGACACAGACTCAGCAGCAGCTAAAGGTGCAGGAGGGACAGAGGAAGCTGAACCTCCAAAGCAGAGAAAGCCAACCTTTAAACTGGAGTATGTGCACTAAAAGAGGAGCTTTGCAGCCCCGCAGCAACGCAAACCTCTCCCCCCCCGCATCCGCTCCATCTCCCACGGGAAGAGGAAGGGAACGTTCTGGTTTTTACCCTGACGACATCCTGGGGCACAGAGGAGATGGCTCGGGGCAGGATGATGACCACGGCACCCGCCGACTGGCGCAGAGCCTTCTGGTACTGCTCGTAGGAGAAATCCACCAGGCGCATCATGACGCAGCGGCGGCTCAGCACGTCCGCCTCGACCGTGCGCGCCTCCGTGTTGAGCACCGCGCTCCTGGTGCCTGCGGGACACAGCGGCAAGAGCCTTGCTAAGACAGCCCAGCCCAGCCCCTTCTCAGACAGCGTGAGGAGCTTCCGAGCAGCCACGACCTGCAGAACGCCAAGGGTGTCCCTTCCCCTCCATCCAAGAAGGGGCAGAGGTCTGTGGGTTCGCTTTGCCCCTGTCAGTACAGCCATGTCCTGCCAGACTCACCTTCCTGCAGCACTACACAGCCTTCCCCAAGGTTCCTCTCCACCAGAGCCACACAGGCTGCTCTGGCTCAGGCACTGGGGTGTTTGTGTGCAGCCTGCTTCGAACTGCTCGCTCTCAGTTCCAGCGTATCAAATCCCCCCCAGGAAAATGCAATCCTCTGGGAGAGCAGCAGCCTGGAGGCTTTCCAGCAGCTCCAGCACTCTCCAAGAGCAGACCACAAGGACATCTTGTATAAATAGAACCAGAGAACGGGTTGGAAGGGACCTTAAAGCTCCTCCAGCTCCAACCCCTGCCCCGGGCAGGGACACCTTCCACTGGAGAAGGCTGCTCCAAGGCCCCGTCCAAGCCCCTGTGTCCAACCTGGCCTTGAACACGGCCAGGGATGGGGCAGCCACAGCTTCTCTGGGCACCCTGTGCCAGCGCCTCAGCACCCTCACAGGGAGGAGCTTTTGCCCAAGAGCTCATCTCAATCTCCCCTCTGTCACGTTCAAGCCATTCCCCTTGTCCTGTCCCTCCATCCCTTGTCCAAAGCCCCTCTCCAGGTCTCCTGGAGCCCCTTTAGGCCCTGGAGCTGCTCCAAGGTCTCCCCTTCAGGAGCCTTCTCCTCTCCAGGCTGACCCAGCTCTCTCAACCACACTTTTCCACCACACAAGGAGATGGAAGGACACCCCCGAGAGAATCTGCCCAGGACCCGGCGAGGTTCTCAACAAGGTGGAGAAGAGGCACCACGCTTGGCTCGGGGTTAGTGAGTGCGGGAGGAGGGGGAGGCTCAGAGCTCCAACACTTCAGTGATTCACGGGACAGGTTTCACTCTAAGAAAGGTGTTGCACAACCAGCAATGGAACAGAGGAACGGGAGGTCACCCGGAGCATGAGGGAGGAACTGGGGAAGGTCGAGCTCCCACATGGAGACACCGGAGGTGCTGCTAGAGCCTGAGGAGCAAAGAGCCCTTAACCCCATAGGGGGCTCAAAGGCAGAATAGCACCGAGCTCACCACCAAGTCCCCCAACGTGCTGCAGCGC